TTGTTTGTGGATTGTGTGTGGTTTGAGATTGGAGGTTGTCTCTTAATTTGTTCTTTTAAATTCTTCACCAATCTAATTGGTTTATATATGGAAATTATTCGAGGGAATGTGTTTAGATTATTGAATCAATTTCCAAAAAAATTTGGGCCGGTTTTTTTTTGTTTTTGTTTTTTTTTATTTGTTTGGAGATTTATATGTTTGCATTGTTTGAATTTGTAGAGGGGGTGTTTTGTTTGTTTGGCTTTCTCAAGACTCATAGAAATCTGGTCATTGACTTTTTCCATTTGGTCTTGAGCTTTTTCCTGTACAAATTTGGCGCTCAGTAAGCCCAGTTGATATCGTGCTGGACTACAGATGGCCTTGGTTCGAACTCAGATTGAGCGTTCTTAAGCTCGGGTCGCTTTGTGGAGTTTTCAAGGTTAAAAACCCATGTGGCTCGGTCCTATGACAGACGGACGTTAAATTCAGATGTCACGCCCGTTAAATAACGTAATAATAATTTTTTGAAGGGGCTTTGACCCTCACACATTATTACTTGCTCTATCTGTAAAATCGGTACTCAAAGAAAGATTTTGTGAAAAGTGAATTAAATGCGTGATTAGATTTTTAATACGGTAGAACTCTTTTTTTAAATATCTGTTTAATGTTTTAAGGAATCTTTTCGATGTCGTTTGAACCACAGTCTCGATTTCAGTAGAGTGGCTAGCTTTCTTTTTTAAATTCCAACAACTTTTTGCCTGAGAACATGTCTATCTATATCAAACTGTTGTCCACCTTTGCTTTCCATGCCTATTGACATCACCGACATGTAATATTCCAATTCTTCCCTTCCTTTTACCTATCCTTAAAAGGCCCATTTTTATATTTATGTACAACGATGTTTTAGGACTTCAATATTATGTTTTGTAACATAATTTCACTGTAACATAATTCCATAATTCATATCAATTTACTATCTTTTCAGAGTGCTTGGTCTTCAAATCCACCTTTGCAAAGTGTTTACAGCTTACATTTTACATACATCATCAACTCGTTCAATAGCGCTCGCTTTTTGTCAAAAAAAGATCTTCATGCCTACATACACACATACATACATACACTCACTCACTCTCTCTCACACACACACGCACACACACACACACACACACACACACACACACACACACACACGCACGCACGCACGCACACACACACACACACACACAGGCGCAGGCGTGCACGCACAAACACACACCCACTCACATCATGAGGGAGACACAATAAGGTGGATGAATGGTGGAGAGAAGATATGAAACACTAATATTGGAGTGTGAGTCTGAAAACCAAATAAAGATGGAAACGGCAGAACTCTAAAATAAGGTTATTCGAGAAACAGGAAGGGCGGAAATGGTGAACAAGCTGAGAAAGCAAAATGGGTTGAAGACAAAGGGGAGAGGAAAGGCGAGAGAGTAAGCTGAGATGGTAGAGAAGAGTTAATAGGAAAGATTTTCAATGGAAGTAGAGGACACGCATTAAGAGAGAGGGGATGGCAGAGATACTGTGAGAGTGAGAGAGAGTGAGTGAGAGAAGTGAGAGAAAGAGAGGGTGGGTGTAAGTGTCTGAGAGAGAGAGAGAGAGAGAGAGGGAAGGAGGGGGCGAGCAGAGGAGGGGCAAAAGAGAGGAGAGAGAGAGAGAGAGAGAAAGGGAGAGAGAGAGAGAGAGAGACAGACAGACAGACAGACAGACAGACAGACAGACAGACAGACAGACAGACAGACAGACAGACAGACAGACAGACAGAGAAAGAAAGATAATGTGTGTGTGTGTGTGTGTGTGTGTGTGTGTGTGTGTGTGTGTGTGTGTGTGTGTGTGTGTGTGTGTGTTTTGTGTGTGTGTAAAAGAGGAAAGGAGGGGTAGCAATGCATACTGTGGCATTATTAACTTGGATGCCCGCGGGGAGTGGAGTGAGGAGTAAGGAGGATTCGTTCACGTGTAAAGGAGTATAATCGGCTTCCGTCTGTCTTTCGTTAGATAGATCTCGGAGAGAATTGCTGTTACGCCCATGGGCATGGGTGTCTGAACTATTAGGTTCACGCCTGCACTTGACAACGAGACACCCGAACAAAATGCTTTTCGTCGAGTGAAAGTAGATTAGCCTTTCCCCCCATTCCCAGCTGAAGACAATGCTCTATCTTTTATGCTTGTGTTTGTGTTTTTGTTCGATTTTAAAGGGCCCACAAGACGAAGAATGTACGGAGCTCATTTTGAGGGTGGAGCACGAAGGTTGTACTCCTTGCTACCCCTTCCTTCCTCTCCCACTTTTTCCGTCTGTCAATTCCTCCTTTGCTGGTCTCGTTCATCTCTTTCCACACCCATCATTTTTACTTTTCTATTCGCCTTATGCAAGGAAAGCCATTACTGATATTGCAGTCAAGAATACGACAGAGCCGGTGATCTGATTGAAGGCGGCCCACAGCCCAATTGGTTCTGACCAAAGGTCCTTACTCCCAAATCACCTTACAGAGCCCGAACGGCGCTAAACTATGCCCTGCACCCCCCTCCTTTCTTTCGTCACATTGCTCCTCTTCCAAATCCAAATCAGCTTGTATGTCTCTTTCTCTCTTCTTTCTATTCTATCCTCTCTTCTCTAGTCTCTAATCTTGTATTGTTTAGTTTCATTTGAAGATATTATTATGCCCAGCTTAACAACTCTTAATTCTGTTCTTACTCTTTGTGCATACAGCATGAACGTCTAACAAGTGTTGATATTGAAATCCGTATTTTAAACTAATTTTTTTGTTTGTTTGATGGTTTCAAACGCTCTGCCCCAGCTTAAGTATTAACGAACCTTTTTTGGTGCAATTGTTTGAGATTTAATGTTAAAACTGACTGAAGAGGCAGAAATGCTATTGATAGGTTTGTTGCACAATGTACTTTGTAAAGCAATGATACTGATCCAAGTTGTTGTTGTTAATACCACGAATTACGATTATAATTTTATTTAGCGGTCTTTCTCCTTTTTCCACATTTAAATTTACGCTCGTTGTTCTTTGATTTCAAACATTTATGATTCACAATGGCTCGTGATAGCGTGTACCTCCAAAGTGATACTATCCTGACCTTAAAAAACATACCCCATTGTTCCTATTGTTCATCTTTATACTTTGTCCTTTCCGCCCCCACCTTGTTGAACGTTCCCTTGTTAAAGTTTCTTTACCACATTTTCCTCGGCTTGTGCATTTGAAAAGTGTTACTTAGCAATGAGAAGAGAGGAAATGTTAGTAAGTGGGTGATGGAAATGTATGCTAAGGAATTGTCGCTCTCTATACGACTTTTTAAAAGTTATTAGAACCTTGGCTTTAAACCATTCAAAACAGACTAAGCTTATTTGAGCAAAAAAGCAGGTACCACAAGAGCCTTAACAAACAGAATGTAAAGTTTAGATATTAAAGTAAAAAGACGAGACGTGGAATTTGGGTTCTTTAACAAGATAACTAGTGCCAAAAAATAGTGAAGGAATGAAACAGCTTTCATCCATTAAAAACGTTATACATAAATTCGGAGTATTTTACCACTTTCAAAATACAGCATAAAAAGAAGTATAATATTCTATTACTGAGAGTATTTAATCATCAGATGTGCACACCGGTTGAAAAAAGAGAGTGTGGGAAAGAGGAACTACCCGCCGATTTTCTCAAATTTTGACCTGGGATTAGATTCCTATGGGGTAACTCTATACCTTAAGTATTAGAGAAAAAAAGTTCTGAGCTCCCAATGCATCTTAATGGATTCCGACATCTCTTCCCCCTCATAACCCATGTTATTTCGAAAGAAGTATAAAACTGTAACTCATAGAAACAAGCAGCTCGCTTACCTGAACCCAGGTTGCGTTCACACACGTTCCCAATGAAGAGTGACATTTCTATCCAACTGTTATGAATAACAGCCTCCTTACTGAGCGATAATAATCTTGAAAGCCTTCAACATTCATTTGTCCTTCTTCCATCACAAGAAATTGCTCCACACATGAACGCAGTTTCATAATAACACACTACATTTCTTTTTCTTCACAATATCTGATTTGATTTAGTTCATTATCGTGCGCCAGTTTTATTTACCTAGCTATTATTAGCTTTACAGTGAGCAAGGCATCAGAGATTAAGTATTGGCACAATGCCAAGAGGAAAAGATAATAAAAACTCATATTACAAAATGTAGCGAATACTTGGTTTTGTTACGTGCATACTACACGTTCAATATTTGAGTGTTTGTTGTTGTTTTGTTTTTGTTTTGTTTTTGTTTTGTTTTTTGTTTTGTTTTTTAAATAGCAAAGTATTGCAAGGTTTTCAAGGTCCTCACATGACAAAACACTGTAGTATGTTCCTAAAATGTCTTTACCGGTCATGCTCTAGAGAGACCCTTTGAAACGCTTAAGCTTGCAGGATGCTTGATAATGCAGTTGTAATAAGTGTACTAAATATTTTCTTACCGGCCGATAAATCCACAACATTCACGTATAAGTTCACCTTCACATAGATCATTGTACTGCCGCACATATCTGGCACTAAACTGTTGGCAGTTACTTTTGCGTTTGTTTATATTTTTCTTGTGTGTGTTCATTCTGCTAATCAGAACATCAAAAGATGGTCGGATTTATTAAGTCGCTCATGTCTCCAATAAACATTTATAAAAAGTAACTGTGTTCAGAGCACGCCACCATAGCTGGACGACCGAATCGAAAACAGACAGTTGACTCTTGACTACTGTTCTTTGCAACAGTGACCAGAAGTGGGCGTTGTGTTATCAGTAAACGGATCCCAAATCAGACTGCTTCACGGATACTGTTAAGTTTTGCGTATAGCCTTTTTACACAATTGGACCCAGAACGGAACGAAATAATACAACGATCACACTCGATTTGACTCCCCATACCGAAAGCTAGACCACGCAATCGGCCGAGGGGAAATAACCCAACATGAAATTAAATCCACCGGTCCGTGCCTTGATTTTCTCACTGGCACTCAGTGACAAAGCTCGGCTGCCTATAAAAACAGTTTTCTGCTTTTTGATTTAATCTCGTTACCTCTGCCTGGATTTGACAGGACACCGGTGAGGTCACAGAGCTGGGACGGGGGACAGGCGGTGGAGGGGAGGCTGTAGATAGCAGGTATGTAACAGATACAGGGTCAGAGGCAACTTTAAAAAAAACACCAATAAGTTAAAGAACAGGCATGGCCGAACTACGGTCCGTGGACCAGATCCAGTTCGATAGTAGTTCCAGCCTAGCCCGTGAGTCCACAGAGTTGTTGATAATGAATGTGTTCTGTGGTGAGTTGATGATTGAAAAAAACAAATTGTCCATCTTTAAAAAATAAAATCAATAATTCCAGGCCCAACTGTAAACAACAAATCTGATAATTTATTGAATGGAACACTTATAATTTATAAGGTCATAATTTGCTGTACTGTCAGGGTTTTATTATCCCTTGATGACCAGTCAAAACTTTCAACAACTACTGAAATATCTGTTATGGCATTTGGACTCGTTTTACCCACCGTGGCTAAGGGAAATGCGGTGAAAAGTAATACCTTGATCAATCCTTTGAGGGAAATTCTCATAGTTCGAAGGGAATGGCATGTTCACAGATACATATTATCATGTTGTCTCTTGTTAGGTAAACAGGCAGGTCGTGACCCCTGCCTCCAGCGCCTACTTCCACCCCTCTCTCTCTCCCTCTCACTCTCTCTCTCTCTCTCTTTCTCTCTGTATATCTCTCTCACACAGACACACACACACACACACACACACACACACACACAAACATACTCTCACTCATCTACCAGTGAAGCCACCTTTGTTACATGTCTAAACTGACATCCCCAGATTTTCGTGGTAGCTTCTACTTCAACTGAAGCGGCTCTCCTCACCGAAACAAGAAACACATTCTGTTCTGTTTCTTCTTCTGTGGGCGGAGCTCCGTGATCCTTCCGACAAAAGTCACACCAGTAACACGTGAATCCTTTCTGACAGTCAAGACGACCAAACTTACCTAACTTGTTATTTGAACTCAAGCGAAGGGGGAATGGAGCGATCACTTGGCTTTGAGAGCTATGTACTGGTTGTACCCTTAAGCGGAAAGAACAAAAATGTTAAGAATTTTTGTCAGAGATTTTTTCCTCACCTGCAGAAGATGGATGTTTTATTAGACAGTTCTTAAGAAAGCATACCAAGAGAAAACAAAACCCGTATAAAGCCTTACAAATTGATAAAAATGTTTAAAGAAAATTTCAACGCATTGTGTGACATGCCAATAACATACTGAATACTCTCGAATTAAGATATGGAATGTAATACCCCTCTGCAAAAAAAACAGATGCGGGTGTCAGACAAACAAAAAATAAATTCTACTTAATATTCTATGGGTGTATAACGGTCACGTAAGTAGAACAGTCAGAGGAATATATCCCATTTTAAAAAAAAAAAACTTTAAATGTTTGTATATCGATCCCCTTGCATTCCTTAAGTGGGCATGCTGAAAACATAGCTAAGATTACGCTGAACTCACGCTTTACATAATAAATTGAGTTTGGAATACGGAAAAAATGGTACAGAGGTCAATTTAAATTGAACTTTCAGATACTCCATTGCGTTTCTGGCCTTGGCCCCGAATTAGCAAAGAGTAGACTAACAACTAATTGATTCACGGTCCCGATAACCGTAACACAGAAAAAAGGAGGAGATGACAGACAAGTTTGTTTCGATCATTTTAACCGTGTACGAACCTTTGTTTTACAATAGCAAACTCCTGAATAACCTGGAGGTGTCTTCTCTGACTCAGAGGTTGACGTGTAATGAAGTAATGACCCTCCGCCCTCCATGGTCGTAAGCTGCCGTTGCACATTCTGCTATATCAAGGCCAGTCCATGTTTTAAGTTGTCCATCCATATTACTCTTTGTCTTCCCTTGCCTCACCTGTCTCACATCCATCCTTCAAGCATCTCTTTCAAAAGGGTTTGGGGGGGGGGGGGTTGGTAAGTGTTTTACGGCGCTCGCAACTGCATAAGGTCATATGAGCGCGCGGGACACACTTAATATTTTCAGTTGGTAGGAAATTTAGAATTTTGCCCGGGTGGCGGCCGAAGCCTACTCTTATCGATTTTAGACCACCAAGGGATCTTTAACGTGCGCAACTTGCACACGGGCCCTCCGAGATTTTTCGCCCTTGTCCGAGAAGGCTAGGTGTAGATCTTTCCTACCAGAAGATCAGAGGTGTGGCAGAAAGACAACAGTAAGGAGGAGCCAAGGAGTAGCAGTAGAATTTCAAAAGGGTTTAGTGTCGTGTCAGGTGGTCAACGTATTGTATTTTTCTACATTTCATTTAATTCAGGAGGGTTTGTCTTGTGTGGACACACCTCATTGTTTGTCATTTTTTTTCTTCCCAGCTAACTCTTGCTAATTAATAACCTGCACAACAGTCACAAATCCAATTACATGACATCACGAACATAAACAGCAGCACAGCGCGCTCTGTTTCATTGGTGTCGATTTTTTAGTTAGTGATGGCGTGTCATGCTCATGGACGTATCACTGACATCGCTTGGAATTATGTGACAGCCTGGGTTTTTGAATATTTGTACATGTTGTTAGTCCCCCTTGACACACGTTAAATTATATCTTAAGGCGGTCTACATCGACCCTGGCTGCCAGGGTCAATTCTTGTGGGAAGCCGAATACCTTAATCATATACTAAAGGCGTCAGTTGATTGTGTCTGACTACACAAATTGGTGAGTTTATTCATTATATAAACAATACAAGCGTAAGAGCTATTTTTTAAAAAGCCAACCAGGTTTACCAAAATATATCATTTTAGTTTTAGTAAAAGTTTTACGGCGCTTGCAACACAATAAGGTCATGTAAGACTTAGTGCCAAAGATTAGAGGCGTCATAGGAGAATAACAAACGCAAAAAAGGAGAGATAAGGACAAATTGATAGGAAAGAAAGAGGAAATCTCACCAGAGCACCCCTAACTGCCCACATTATATTGCTCGTCTTCTTCTTCCTGTCATTTCTTTCCGGGGAGGGGAGGGGGGGATATATGCCAGATCTTGCGCCGCCACAATCAGCCTGTGGTCTAGTCGTTTCTCTTTTTCTAGCCCAAAGCTTTTCAAGACGTCTTTCACAGTCACTCCCCCCCCCACCCCTAACAACAACAAAATCGGCTTTCTGAAGTGGGCCTGGCGTGTCTTAACTGAAACTGCTTTAAATGTGCGGAGACACGCACGCCCCGCCATGATGGAATCTCTAATGTAACTTCCGGCAATGGCTGGTGTTGGTTGGGCAACTATGAAACAAAAGTAGGTCAAGATGCCCGAGCAATTTCTTTGGGAAAACATTATTTTCCTTTACACATTTTCTAGCAGCCACCAGCCTATGGACCACCATATGGGACAAAAAGAAAAAAAAGAAGGAAAAAAAGCAAAGGAGAGTGCCCCATGTTTGTGTTAAACTCCGCAAAACGAAAAGCGCCCGTGACTTTGAAAGTGTAAACTATTTCCTTGACAATTTGCGGAAATCCTGAAAATGGGGACAGTCACTTTCTACACTAACTTGCAAAGACTTTAGGAGGAGGCTGGTCTAAGCTTTGTAAAGAAGCCAAAGTTGAACTTCTATTCATTATAAATATTTTAGTTTCTTTTTTAAAAAACGGGCTTCTACGTTTTCTCAAAGTGTTCTCTATTACAGATGCAGAGTTGGCTTGCTTCATACACGGTGTGCGGCCCTCTCTCACAACTGCATCAAAGACGGGATGGATCAAAACACAATTATAATATGTGTAGGAGATTGTTTAGTTTGTAAATGATTGTTGATATATCAGGTCTCACTGGCAGAATCTAAAATAGCTCAGGAGTGGTTGCCTCATACCTACCTGCCTTAAGACACAGCCTCAAGCAGAAAGTAGAAGATATTTTATTAAAGAGAGAGAGAGAGAGAGAGAGAGAGAGGGGGGGGGAGAGCGATGAGGACGGAGAAAGACGTCCCCACGCGAGAACCAAACCCAAGTCGTAGTACAGCGGGGATTTTTAGCCATGACACCACAACTGCCAGCGTTTTGGGAATGCCATTTATTTATTTAGTTAAAATTTTACGTATTACACATTTTAAGTTTAATGTGTGGTAGAATGGCTTACATCGTCATGGAATTCACCAATAGATCATGTCATGGAATTTTGTTTTAGGTCCAGTTAATGGTTACAAAGAGAGGGGGCGTAAGGAAAGAATGTCATTAGATGGTATTGGTAGGCTCAAAAGACAGTAATGGTGTGTTCGTTTTCCTGCCATGGCAATATGTATATAAATATATATATATATATATATATATATATATTTTACTTTCACATCCGAACAGATCAGTAACATTTCGAGATGGGGTTGGGAGCGCTTGATCAGTGAGCCGTCTTGTGTCGTCTTCTTCTTTTATTATATTTTTCTTTTTCTTTTTTTCTTTTTTTTTGGGGGGGGGGGGGGGGGGTCAGCGTAACGCTGGCCCCACCCTGTCGTAAAAGAAATAAATGGTCATCCTGCTAACTCGCTGGAAAACTACAACCTCAATAGTGGTGTGATTAGGCCAGCATTCACTGTCGCCTGTGGTGTGGCGTTAGGGGGTGGGGCACCTAAAGGCTATCTCGGCTATTACAAACCCTAGAGGGCCCATAGTTTCTGGAGGGGACATCAAGTATCTTTGGGGATTTGAAATTAATTGTTTAACAACGTAAATAATACGGTTCGGCTGCTGTGAAAACGGTGGCATAATTTCATTTTGTTTACCTTTTTTGGTCCCATTTTATTCACATGTTTATCAACAAACACATTTTTAGTGTGGCACGTATAAAAAAGGACAGTCATCTTGAAACTGTGTGGAGGAATTTTTGGCATATGCTTTAGTTTCCATTTTATGGCACTTGAATCTCGGCTTATTACATATCTGTGAAAAAACCGAAAAAAATCAAGCTTTTGGAAT